GATTGTTGGTTCGATCCCCGGCTCCTCCTGCCACGTGTCGAAGTATCCTTGAGCAAGATACTGAACCCCAAATTGCTCCCGATGCACAGCATTGGTGTGTGAATGTGTATGAAAGGGTGAATGTGGCACGTAGTGTAAAAGTGCTTGTCGGAAGACAAGTATAGGTCCATTTACCATTTACAATGTAGTGCAGTAAAAAGTAGAATATTTTAGTATAAAGTTCTGACGTACAGTACTTGATCCTCGCTGCTCCTCTGTGTGTGTTTCAGATTGTGTACTTCACAGCGACCTTCCCCTACGTGGTCCTCATCATCCTGCTGGTCAGAGGAGTCACACTTCCTGGAGCCTACGACGGCATCATGTACTACATCAAACCTGATTGGTCCAAACTGGGGGAAGCTCAGGTACCGACGTTTATTTTTGATTAAACCTTTTTACGCAACCATTAACTCAAAAACTCATCATTAGTCAGCTTGTGTCAGAAACTGAGTGCAGTTTGACTCGTGTTGTTAGAATGAGCTGTATTATCTACAGAAGGAGCGGCTCCTCTTCTGTCCGCCATGTTTCTCCAGGAACCCATAACGGACAAATCAAACACTGGATCTAGACCGTAGTTTCTCCTACACGCTGGGAAGACGATTCAGTTGGTTGCAATATGCAACTTCACCACTAGATGTCACTAAATCCTACACACTGCTGCTTTAACCCTTTGGGGTCTGATGGCTTTTTCTAAAATTGACCTTTAAAGGGACTTGCAGAACATGATCTACCCATGTGTTTTATATCAAAACGTACAGATGTAGACGGACGCACATCAAACACCTGTGACCTTTAACCTCTGACCTCCTTCCAGGTGTGGATCGACGCCGGCACGCAGATCTTCTTCTCCTACGCCATCGGGCTGGGAGCTCTGACCGCTCTGGGCAGCTACAACCGCTTCAACAACGACTGCTACAAGTACGACACACACACACGTCTTTTTACACTTTCAGGTCCTTATATGGACATATCCTGTGAGTTATGGCTGTTTATGTGCTGAGACACGCCCCCTCTGAAGCTCATTGGACAATATGCTGAAAACTAAATAAGATATCAATTAGCCTTATGCAACTATTGATCAGCTTCGAGATGGCAGAAAAAAAATCCAAATGGTAAAAAATCTAGGGAGCACATCCAACTGAGGGGGCGTGGCCTTCATTACAGCTCACGTAAAGTTGAGAAAGACAAATAACAATAACAAACACAAAAACAATAGTTTCAGAGATTCCTCCGCATACCATCAGTGGTACATTTACCATAGTTTGAGAACCAATGACATAATGCATTCTCTCACCGTTGAACCCCTGAACCCTGAACCCTTAAGACCACTTCCTAACCTTCACACTGTCCTTGGAAGCAGTAAAATGTCCTCCCTGCAGTGGCTGGAAACTGAAACTGGGCCTCACAAAGATAGCAACCCAAACAAAAGCCAGCTCAGAAAGACGTGGAGGTTTGAAATGGTATCCAACAGGATCCACTGGGACCAGTATTCACTCCACTGGGCACTGTGTGCTGATTACTCATTATCTCTGTCTGCTAAGTGCGCAACTAAACTATTTGAGTCATACATTAATATTAAGAATGGAGTATATAAAGTGGATGTTTGCTCAGGATCAGAGGATAGTACCCCAGGCACGGCGCCAGGATTTTTTCTCTCCTGGTGCTAATGGGAGCTTGACCGATACGTGGGGGTGCTAAGAAAATAATATGTGTATATATATTAAAATATAAAATAAAATGCTTGAGGGGCTTAACTGGGGCTACACCCCCTAGCCCCGGTGTAGTGCCGTCCCTGTAGTACCCACTAGGTTGGGGAACCTTTAAGATCATTAGAAGTTGGGGAATTAATCATATTATCTGCACAATAATGTGATTCTTTTTTCTTGTTCCTGCTCTCTCTCCTGCAGAGACGCCTTTGTCTTGGCTCTAATAAACAGCGGGACCAGTTTCTTTGCTGGTTTCGTTGTATTTTCTATTCTGGGCTTCATGGCTGCAGAGCAGGGCGTCGACATCTCACAGGTTGCTGAGTCAGGTAAAACATACAAACAGCAGCTGTTCCTCAAATTCTGCTAATGGAGAGAGTAAATACATTCACAGGTCAGTTAGAGACTGACTCACACTGGATATCCAAAGCTCTTCTGACTCTCTAAAGCTCACTGTGATATAATATCAATGGGTATGTTTCCATTAGTGTTTAATCAGCTGAAAATTAGAATCACTGCTTTCATTACCTTAGAATGAGACATTTTTATCTCCAGAGGGAGCAGGTAGGGTTAATGGACTGTTAATATAGCTCCTCTCTAGTTGTCTGACCACTCAAAGCGCTTTACATTAATTAATACTCATGTGCTCTACTCTATTCTTTTAATTTTGTACACTGTGATATTGCTACTATTACTTATGTTTTCATATGAAGACTGAAGGACTGTGTGTGTGTGTGTGTGTGTGTGTGTACAGTCAGTAACCGACTGTATGTGTGTGTATTAATAGCTCTGAAGCACATGATGTGACATCACAAACACACTCAGTTATATTTAGTTTGTCCACAGAAGGAAGTCTCACTGTACGCTCTCTGTTTCTCCTCTCATTCACACACACTGAAGGTTTTATTATTATTTACTATGATACTGAGGTATTACTATGATACTGAGGTATTACTATGATGAAGTGAAAGAAGAACATCTGGTACGTCAGACTGCTGACTGAGGCATTAAGGGACAGTTTCCTGAAGACCCTCAGATCTGTTTTTAAAAGAATAGCAGCAACGTACGTCTGACTGCACCTAATGGAGATTAAATGTGTGTGTGTGTGTGTGTGTGTGTGTGTGTGTGTGTGTGAAATTGGCCGCCATTGCCCCAGCAGCTTGAGGACATGAATCTTTTTATTTTAATCTCACTGCAAAAAGAACAAAAGCAAATCCAATTTACTGAATCCTGTCAGACACGTTTACAATGTGTGTGTGTGTGTGTGTGTGTGTGTGTGGTATTAACTGAAGGATTATTTAAGCCCTCTCACCTCCTGACATGTGACTCATCTTTCTTTCATGAGGCCAAGCTCTGCTGTTAATGTGTGTAATGCACCTTTAATCTGTTTGAACTAAAAGCAGCTGATTAGATGAGACGAAGATACCGCTTTAAAGATTAAAGGACCAGTTTGCAGGATTTAGTGCCATCTAGTGGTAAAGACAAACTGAATACAGCTCAGCCTT